GGGGGTGGGGGGGGCTATAGGTTCATTTATTACCTGCCTGCCTTTCCATTTATAAATGGCTCTGTTTTCAGAGGATGCAGATGCCTGAGGAGCCTAAGCAGGATGGCAAGGATAAAGCCTTTTGAGAAATGCCATAAACCAAACAGGTTACTCAGGTCTCACATCCAAGGCAAACAGGGAAGAAGACCCTGTGGAAATAAATCCTGGCCACCATCCTGGGCCCTCCTGCCTGCCCTCAGTACTCAGGAGGTATTTAAAAAAAAAAAAAAAAAAAGAATTCATTGGATTTGTCTTTCAAGCTGCAGGCTCGGAGCAAGGCTTCCTTTTCTTCTGGGCTGGGGTCTGAAGGGAGACAAGAGGGGAAGGGCTCAGAATCCATGGCGTGCTGCAGCAGGTAACCCCAGATCTACTTGGCTCCAGGACTGCAGCTGGGGGCAAGATAAGGGCAAGCCAGAGCCTTCCCAGTTATCTCTGATTAAAGATGCCAGACCCCCTGAAGGAGGGGGCTCTCCTCCAGCTACAGGGGCCATGTGTTCTAAACTCTCTGGCTGAACCAATAGGAGGAATCCCATTATCTCCTCTGTCGGCTCTGATTTGCAACAAATAATGGCTTGATTAATTAATAAGCAGGCCAAGCTGGATAGAACAGACCCAGGGATGACCTTGGTACCTCCACTCACAGGAGTGGGGGATGGTGGAGGGCTTTGCCGGGGAAGAGAGAGAGGAACAGGATTCTCTGGGGCCCACAGAGCGTGCGCATAAATCCTGAGAAAAAAGCATCCTTCGGTTGGCTAGTTTTCAGAGCTGTGGCCCTGAAGGATGCAGGGGGCAGATGGTACCATCCGGGTCTCAGAGTTTCAAATAGAAAAAGCTAAAGTGGGTGGGGGTTGGGGAAGCAAACATCGACAACACACCACACACCACACACACACACACACAAACCTGCCATGAAAGGATAATTCTGTCCTCTCATCTCCCATCTGGAGACCAGCCAACTTCATAGAGGGCCAACAGGCAACTGGGTCACAAAGCTTAGCAGGATGGAAAGGGCTGCATAGGGGGAAAATTCGGGGGGAGGTGACAGCCCTGTGACCCCCCACCAGAGACCAATGGCACCACATAGCCAAGGATCAGGGCTGGTGGCCCAGGAAGTTACTGCACCTTCAAACCCCCACCCCCACCCCCACAGGACAGGCAGGTTTCAAAAGGCTCAGTGTTTTAACTGGGGTGGGGAAACGCGGCTCGGGCCCTTTCTAAAAAGGCAGCATCTGTGGGGGCTGTTATTTATTTATTTATTTTCACGCAGCGGCTGGAAGTGCAGCTGCAATGATGAAAGAAGGGGAGGGGGAGGGGCACCCCATTCGAGGGAGAGAAAATCAGTCATTCCCTGGTGATTAGTGAATAATTTCCCCCAGTCAGAACGCAGGACATGCCCTATTAGGTTTAAAATAGACTAGTCTTCATTTAATCTGTCCCTTCACAGCCTCCCTATTACCTTGGAAATATTGGTAACCCCCACGAAGGGGCCTGGTGATGGATTGACTTCACCAATTCCCCACTTATTTCAGCATCCAACGTCTAGGCCCCTTTAATGACTCATTCCCAATAACTTTATGAAGTTATTCTTCTTTGCTCCATGCCTGTCTCTTCTTTAACTGTCCCCCTCCTCCCATTTTCTTCCCTCCCCCGTCTATCCTTCCCCCCTTTCCCCCAAAAGGATTAAATTCTCAATTGCGTCTTTGTGCTCGACTTGATGGGCCATATATCATCTATTAATCCAGTTCCCGAATCCTTCCAGCTTTCCCTGGTGGCCTCAGTGTTTCATTAACCGCTGTGGTGGTAAATTGCTGGAAGCAGATATATCACGGCCCTTTCTCTGGGGTTACTAAATATTTCTGAGGCAGTAAGGACCCTCTGAGGAGAGCGATGGCGTGCAGTGCGTATGAGTCACCCAGCAAGGCACTTCAGGCTCCATGAAGGGAATATTTATGAGTGCTCCTGCACCCGTGTGACTGGAGACAGCGGGCCGGGCATCTGCTGAATTGGGGAGCAGGGAGGGAAAGAAGGGAGACAGATGTCCTCCATCCTCTGTGTCTGCAAAGGGGCTCCCACGTTGGAAGAAGAACTGAGCAGGGACAAGAGGTGCTCAATCCCCCGAAGTGCGAGGCAAGAGCCAGGGCCAAGTACCAGAAGGAGGGCAGTGAAATTGCAGCTCTCTATCTTCTCTGCATATGGTAAAAAGACAGGGCCCAGGGGACTGCATATAGAACCTGATGGAGAAAAGGAGGGGAAAAAAGGACAGCTCCACAGAAGCTGCAAACCTCCCCCACGCCACTCTCTCAGCTGCCATTCACCAGGGCCCAGCAACAAAGAAGGAAACAGGCATTTATTAAGCACCTACTATATACCAGGCACTGTGGAACAAAAATCTCATTTGATAATGGTAACAAGCTAACATTCATGGAGTACTTACTATATGCCAGGCACTGTGCAAAGTGCTTTACAATTATGAACTCATCTGATCCTCATAACAACCCTGGGGGTAAGAGCTATCACCACCATCTTCATTTTACACTTGAAGAAACTGAGGCAGACACAAGTTTAAGTGACTTGCCAAGCTTTGACTTCACAAAGCTAATAGACAGACACGAGTCTGGATTTCCAAGTTCTAACTCTAAATGGTAACTAGTTCTGTGACTAAAAGAGAGTCATAGAATCACAAGTTTAGAACTGGAAGGCATGTCTGGAAATCTAGACCAATCCACTTTGCAGATTGGGAAACTGAGGGCTAGGGAGGGGAAAGACTTGACCCAAAGTTGCCCTGCCAAGCTAAAATTCAACCCTGGGTTCTCTGGCTCCCAAACCAGCAGCACTCTTTGCCCTCTCCCCCTATCTCTCTAAGATAGTTCTCACCAAGACCCCTAAGCTTGGGGTCTCTTCTTACCTGGAAAACAAAGAATGGATAACACCTGTGCCCCGTAGGGTTTTTGTGAGGACCAAGTGAAAATGTATGTCAAAGTCAGTGATCAACGAAAAAGCACTTGGGGCAGCTAGGTGGCACAGTGGATGGAGCACTGGCCCTGAAGTCAGGAGGACCTGAGTTCAAGTCTGGCCTCAGACCAAACACTTGACACTTACTAGCTGTGTGACTCTGGGCAAGTCACTTAACCCCAATTGCCTGAAAAAAAAAAAGAAAGAAAGAAAAAGCACTTAAAGCTATTATGGGGACTCCTCCACCAACCCTTTTAAAATCTCAGGTAAGGAGCAGACATGACACTAAGGAGACATCTGAAAGATATTTAGGACTTTTGGCAGGTGCCAAGTCTCCTGAAATTAGAGGGAATCTCCCACCACCTTCCCCCACCCTCCAGCTTTCCACTTCTGCGTTGTGACTTCATAAAAACCGTTTGCCTCCAAATGCCATTCTTTGTTTTTTGTTTTTTTTTGGGGGGGGGTGGGGTTTGCTAGGCAATGGGGTTAAGTGACTTGCCTAGGGTCACACAGCTAATGAGTGTTATGTGTCTGAGGCCAGATTTGAACTCAGGGCCTCCTGACTCCAGGGCCAGTGTGCCAAATGCCATTCTTGGAAGACAGTAATGAGATGGTGAACATTGGCTTCTTGGGAGCAGAGGGGTCAGGAGATGGTGAACACTGGCTCCTTGGGAGCTGGGTCAAAGGGTTAGTAATGGGCCTAGGCAGAAGGAGAAAGCAAATGAGAAATTCCCAGCCAGCTGGAGAATTTAGGATTTCTTGGCCTTCCTCCAGATTCAGGGAGGGCCTGTTTCACTCCCAAAAGGCAGCACTTTCTTGAGACTGAAAAGTCACCACCAGCAGGTATTTGGGATGAAGCCCATCCCAGCCACCAGATGCTTTAAGCTTGGACAGGCTGAGAGTCCCCACAATGCAACTGCTCCCAATTGTGCAGGGCAGGAGACGTCTGCAGAGAGTTCTAGGTGGGAATTTTGTGCATTACTTGAAGCTGCGGATTTTATTCCTTCCTCAAACCCCTCCCCATTTTTCTTTGCGGTTTAATTAGTATTTCCAAGTTGTATAATCCCTCCGGGAACAGTCATAAAAATCCAGGAGAGAATCACTGCTAACAATGGTTCTTAATTAGGAAGTGCTTCACTCCAGACTGCAGCATGCGTGTGTATAAGCAGGGGTGGAAGGATATCTGCAGCAGGGGGAAGCCTGAGGGGGGTGGGAGGGTGGGAGCCGAGACCCAAAGAGTCAGGCAGCTGCACAGAGACAGCAGGGCTTGTGGGGACAGTTGATGAAGCTTGGCCCTGGGTGGGGTGCGTTGAAGAGGATAACTCAGCAGTGCCTTTTATCACTGCTGTCATTTGAAGGCCAATTCCCAATTTTCTGTTGTTTCTGCTCTTTGGTTTCTTACCCCCAGAGGTTTTATTCATGGGCTTTTTGCACAGCTGGGAGCCAAGATGACTGGAACATGATGAGCGACTCCAGGAGGGTTTTACATTTAGACTGAGAGGGCATCTAAAGGCCATCTAGTTCAACAAGACTCATTCATTTGACCAATGGAGAGACTGAGGCCCAGGGCAGGGAAGGGACTTATCCAAAATCACATAGTAAATATATGGCAAGGCTGGGAGTCAGTCCTCTGTGCCTCAATTTTATTATCTGTAAAATGGGAATAATGATTTCTTGCATTCCCTACCTCATGGGTTCACTTTGTGAATCTCAATAAATGGAATTAGTATTACAGGTGTTTGTCAGTTACCCTTTCTTTTAATCAGGTCTCGAAAAATTAGATGGCTTCCCCCCTTTGCAAGAAATGGATTTGATCTGACCTCAAGAAAAGGCAAGCAGCCATCTTCCCATGAATCTAGTATCTAGCGTACAACCAAGATAGGCTGTAGAGTGGCTTAATCCTTTGTCAAACAAAGTCCCAAGCATGAGCTGGTGTTCTCTCTCTCTGTCTCTCTCTCTCATACACACACACACACACACACACACACACACACACACACACTCTTTACCTGTCGGCTCTCACTTCTCCAGACACCGTTGACGGTTTTCGTTGGCGCGATGGTGACCACTGGGGGCGTGCTGGGGACGCTGTGGCCCCCCGGGGGGACAATGATGGGGCCCATGGGCACTCGCTTGGGTGTGCTAGCAGGAGAGCTGTGGTTGGTTGCCGGGGAAGAGACTGGGGAAGACTCACTGCTTATTGAAGACCCTGCAAAAAAACAGAAAGTGTAAAGCAAAGGACAAAATGGCGGCGCTGAATTTAGGATGGGCGTGTCAAGACCCCAAGGGGAGGGCAGGCACTTTGTCCATCTCATCAACCAGACTGACTCAAGATTCCAGAGCCTCCCACAGAGGTCTTCCTCCTTCCTGCCTGAGATGAATAGGAGAGAGGGATGGAGGGAGGGAGACATACTGGGCCAAGGCTGGACTGCCTGGGACCAAGACTGGGGCCTGCCAGTTCGGCTGTGTGACCCTGGGCCAGGTGACTTCACTTTCCTTCTGTACAATGAGAGGGGAGGAGTAGATTGTTTCCGAAATCCCCTTCCAGCACCGAAGTTCTTCTGCTGGACCTCCTGAAGTGGCCTCTCTTTTCTTTCAACTCTTCTAAGGACTGTCTACATGGTTCCTGAAATGGCTTTTAGCTCTAAACATGTGCTCCTGTGGGGGGTACTTCCACACAGGCAACTAGAGCATTGGGCCTGGAATCAGGAAGTCTGAAGTTCAAATATGGCCTCAAGACTCTTGCTAGAGGGGCAGCTAGGTGGCACAGTGGATAGAGCTCTGGCCTTGGAGTCAGGAGGACCTGAATTCAAATCCGGCGTTAGACACTTGACTCTTCTAGTTGTGTGACCCTGGGCAAGTCACTTAACCCTGACTGCCTCACCAAAAACAAAAACAAAAACAAAAAAACCCCCCAAAAAACCATTCTTGCTAGTTGTATGATCCTGGGCAAATCCTTTAACCTCTGGCAGCCTCAGTTTCCCCATCTGTAAAATGGGGCTAACAAGAGCCCCTACCTCCCAGGGTTGTGAAGATCACATGAAACAGTATCTGTTTCGAGCTTTAAAACTTTCTCTGACTTGCTAGTTACTCTTATTATAAAAGGGTTCAACTCAAAGCAGGGCTCAGAGCTTCTCCTAGGCATCTGTTTGCAGCTGTTCACTGCAAAGTGAAGGAAAAAAACACAGACACCGTAAGAAGAGCTCTGGACTTGGGAGGCAGACGTGGTTTCTAGTCCCAGCTCTGCTAACAACTCACTCTGTGTCCTTAATAGGGCAAGTCACCTGACTGCTCTGGGCCTCACTTTCCTCATCTGTAAAACAAAGAGGATTGGATCTGATCTGATGGCTTTGGAGGGCCCTTCCAGGACTCAATCTCTAATTCTGGGCCAGTGCTCTTCCAATGATTCCCAAGGAGGAAAAGGGGACACCCAGACACTTACTTAGCATCTGCCAGGAAAATCAACGGGCAGCTAGGTGGTGCCATAGTGAACAGAGCGCCAGGCCTGGAGTCAGGAAGACTAATCTTCATGAGTTCAAATCTGGCCTCAGATATTTACTAGCTGTGTGACCCTGGCCAAGTCACTTAACCTTATTGCCCTCAGTTTCCTCATCTGTCAAATGAGCTGGAAAAGGAAATGGCAAACCACTCCAGTATCTCCGCCAAGAAAATCCCAAATGGGGTCACAGAGTCAGACATGACTGAAATGATTAAACAAAATCAAATCAGTATGCTAGTTTTCCAGGCACATCTCCAGTTGAATGGTCTCCAAGAGGTTTTATGACCTCACAATGCCCATGTCTTTTGCCCCGCTCTCTAATGCACTTAAATATATTTATCTATGAGTCTTACCACCTGACCAGACTGTGAAGGCAGTGAACCTGTCTTAATTAAACTTCATAGCTACATAGAACTGGAGTCACAGGTCATGAGTTCTAATTCTGACTGCGACACTTTGAGCTTCACATCAAATGGGCCTCAGTTTCCTCATCTGTCAAATAATGGGGTTGGACCAGATCACCAGGGGTCTCCTTTAGTTCTAAACCTGTAATTCTCATGCCTAATACAATATTCTATACACAGAAGGTGCAGAGCTCAATCTTTGGCTATGGTTCCCCTTTCCCATCGAGAAATAAAGTTGAATGTACAAGTCAAAATGAGGTCAAAGGCTTAGGCATTCCTGTAGATGCCAAAACCCATCAAACCCAGTTCCTGTGACTGGGTAGGGAGGGTTGGGACAAAACTGTAATGATATATCATGAAAAGAGGAGGGGGAAGACCCACAGTAGAATCCTGACTCTGTAAAAGAGACAACCCCAAAAAATAAAAAAATCAGGGCAGCTCGGTGGCACAGTGGATAGAGCTCTGGCCTTGGAGTCAGGAGGACCTGAATTCAAATCCGGCCTCAGACACTTGACACTTACTAGCTGTGTGACCTTGGGCAAGTCACTTAACCCTGACTGCCTCACCAAAAAGCAAAAAAATTAAATTAAATTAGAAAATTTTAAAAATAAAAATAAGAGACAACCCAAGATCTCATCCAGCAAGAAAGTCAGAGATGGATGTTCCTCCATCTAAATGAGCCCACACCAAAGGCCTACTGTGTGCATGTTGCTGTCTCAGGTGCTGTGGGGGCTCCAAAGATGAATAAGACATGATCTGTGACACCATAGGAAATAAACAGAAAGCTAAGCAATATAGGAAACTGTCAAGATAATCTATAACCCTTTGGGCCAACGAGTAGTCATTGATTACCTGCAATGTACAAGTCTAGTACTGGTCTAGGCACCAAATAAAAGCATGGAGAGCATTGTGAACAAGCATGGTTTGGGAAGGCTCCATTGGAGAAGGTGAGGATTGAACTGGGCCCTAAAAAATAGGAAGGCAAAGATGGGCAGGGAAGAAAGGACAAATGATCAAAATGGCCTTTTAATCCAGTTTTGTGCAGGATTAAGAACAAGTAAGGGGAAGGGGGCGGGGCTGAGAAAGGAAACTTATTATAGTCATGCAGGTAAAGATAAGGGAAGAAGATGCCAGAGGTTTTCAAAAGAACTCAAGCCCTGGTGATGGATTAGTTGTGTTCGTTTGAGCGAGAGGGGATGGAGATAAGCCAGAGATAATTCGAAGATTCTGAGACTTGAGCTGACTTGGTGGTACAGCAGAGAGAAACTGGGAAGTCAGGAGGGAGAAGGAACGATGAGGAGCTTCACTTTAGATACTGTTGAGTTTGAAGTGACAGGGCATTTGAGGCAGCTCGCAGTTAGCTATACTGAGCTGGAATTTGGAGAAAGAGGGGGATAGGGCCCATTGGCCATGGCACTCAGGGCCTACTGCAGCTACAGGGTTTCAAAGCCTCCAAAAACTATTAGCAGTTTATTTATTATTCAATACGCCCCTGGTCAGCTCAGGTAGCTTGGTCACACAGGGAAGCAGGAGATGGAAAATCCTTTGTGGGAGGTACTGGGGGGGGAGCCTCTTTTTTTATCTGTGGCTTCTGGCACCTCCCCCAATTGAGCACTTTCCCTTGCCCTCAGGGAAGTGTCAGAATGATACCAGATCATCTTAACTCCAAAGCTGGACACCCTCCACTGCACATAACACCTTCATTATTGTTTTCTCTTTCTGAACACTTCTGTATCTAATATAGTGCTCTGCACACAGTAGATACTTAATAAAAGTTTGGGGGTGACGTGGATGATGGGATTGGGTGGCTGCCTCCAACCTAGACATAAATGCATCTGATAAGGTTGAACGCCTATTTCAAGACTGAGATAGGGGCTTAAGGAATATTAAGAACTATTCAAAGCCTAAACATTTGCACCACTCTCTTCACCCACCTCCAAGAATCCAGGACAGACAATGTTCAGGATGGGTAGCATTGTACAACAGTTAGTCGGTGATGCACAATCATCTTGTAAAGGGCATTATGGGAAAATCTTCTCTGCTGAAGCCAGCACAAAATTTCAGACTTGTTAAGGCCCTCAAACTCCAAGCTTCAAGCCATACTTCAGTAGGAAATCCTTGCTCAAGGTGAGTCACTCTCATAGGGAGTCCTTAGGATCACAGAATTTGAGAGCTGGAAAAGGGCATCCCTCCACCAGCCAAGTAGAGGGTACCTCGTCCAATCAATACCTCAGCAGGAATTTCTCCTGCAACATCCCAGTCAAGAGGGTCATTTACCTGTTCCAGCACTTCCAGTAATAGTGACTTTACTAACTACATTTTAATCGGGATGGGTTCCAATCAAGCTCTATTTCCAGGATTCCTGAATACAAGAAGGAAGCTGGGAGGAGATGGCGATAAGGAATGACTGGATTCAGGACCAAGGCTAAGACTAAGAGATGTAATTCTGCCAGGACTGGAAGGCCACCTAGAATGAAGGGAGCGAGATTTCTATGGGGAAACTGACATAATGGGGTGAAGCACAGAAGAGATCACAAAAGCCATTCCCCAGGAGATGAGTGGTCAGACAGGTTTTAAAAGAGGACATGCAAATTAGCAACAACCACATGAAAGAATGCTACAAGCCATTAGGAAGAAAAATGCAAATTAAAACAAATTTAGAGGTTTTACTCCCACACCCATCAGCAAGGATGACAAAAGACAAAGATGCTACACGGTGGAAGAACCTTCAGGTGGAAGAACCTTCAGAAGACGCTTGGTAAAAAGGTGTGAATTGGTCTGATTGTTTTGGAAAACAATATGGAATTATATCCAGAGGCACTAAATTGCATGTAACTTTTAAACCAGAAATACCACTTCAGGGTACATGTGGCAAGAAGGGCCAAGACTGAGGGAACAATTTATTGAAAAAAGAAAGGCAGCTGAGTGGCTCTGGTGGATACAGTTTTGGACCTGGAGTCAAGAAGACCTGAATTCAAATCTAGCCTCATATATTTATGAGCTAGGAGACCTGGGACAACTTACTTAATTTCCCTCAGCCTCAGTGTACATAACCTCATGGCTTCATAGGTCCCTTATAGCTCTAAATCTGTACCTGTATGGTGCTTTCATAGAGGCTGCTAGGTGGTCCAGTAGATAGCATGCCAGACCTGAAGTCAGAACAGACTGGAGTTCGAATCTAGCCTCAGACACTCGCCGGTTGTGTGACCCTGGGAAGTCAGTTCATCTCAGCCTCAGTTTCCTCATCTATAAAATGGGGGCAATAATAGCATCTACCTCCCAGGGTTGTTGGGAGGTCAAAATGAG